TTTTCAAGCGCAGATCAGTGCGTTTCCCATATATGTAGATTCGCGCGGGACCGCATCGGATCCGTGCGTGAAAATTTTACAGAATATCCCCGCTGTCCATTGAATTACAAATGGCATTTGAGTGATATTTACAAAGCACGGCGTTACTAATCCTCTTTTAATAAATAATAAGGTGGTTTGTGTTTTGCTGCCGACTCTAAGCTAATATTTAAAAAAAAAAATTGGTCGTCTGTAAAGAAAACAGAAGATGGTAAGTCTAATCCTACTAATATTATAAATATATAATATGTATGTTTGTATTTTTGTTACTCAATCACGAAAAATCTACTAAACGGATTTGAATGTCGGCACACATATAGTTTATTACTCGGATTGAGACATAAGATACTTTTCTATCCTGAAAAACCCTTAGGTTCTTGAGTGATTCTCAAAAAACTGAACGCGGAGGAAGTCGCGGGCGACTGCTAGTAATAGTAAAAGTTCTTCAGAAGCTAGTGTTGTTAAAACAGACCAGCTGTTGAACAGCAAAAAGTGTCCAACTTGATTTTTAAAACTAGCTACTTTTTATACCATTTCTATATTTCGATCTTATCAACAAATAAATATTCAGGATATTTAAGTTAATGATAAATCTAAGTAAGTAGGAAAAGGTAATCTAAAGCTGGTTAGAATTTCTTCAGCCAAAATAGCATTCTAGTGCAGTGTTAATGTTGGAACATTATTTATACGCCCGCTTTCATTGAAAAAGAGGGTCGAGAATGTTGTAAATATAGAAATGGACTTTCAAAGCCTCGGCTTCGGCTCGTAGTAAAAGGACCTCTTTATGCTCCTAGGGGCCCTCGTAAGTGCGCACACAAAATATCTGAGGACTTGCGGTTTTTCGAAGCACCGCCACCGCGGAACAATTATGCCGCTATTGTGTTATGGAAATGACATGAATTTCACACAGCAAAAGCTGGAAAGTAATTACCACATACAATGGGAAGTGTAATCAGAATTTTACAGAATTCGTGCAAGTGATTTGTAGAAAGCCGTGTAAGTATAATGTCACAGATACAGATTGTATGTGATGATATTATGTAATTAATAAAAATAATAGTGGGTTACCGCGACTTTGTCTGCTTGGTTAAATCGGTTTCCCATTCAAACATCCACCCCTTTAAGGATACTTCAGGGATAAAGAATATCTTGTTGTTTTTTCTGAGACTAATTCACTATTTCTATATTAAACTCAGATCAAATAAATATTGTTTCTTTGATCAGAGATACCAAACAACTACTTAAATCGGTTCAACGGTTAAGCGTGAAGGGATACAGACGGACACACTTTCTCATTTATAATATTAAAAGTATGGATGTAATTGTTTCAACAAATAGTAGAAGATCCGAACTCACATCAACGTTCACCGAGCTGATAATAATAGAATGAAACATTTTTTATCATGATTTTAGTATATAACAAAATATATTAATAATGGGTTGCCTAAAAAAATCCTGGACAGTATTTTTAATTATTTAAAAAAATATATATGTAAAAAATATGCTGTAACATCAAGATAATAAGAAAATGTTGTCCTGACGTATATAATATTGGCCAGCCGTTGGGTAATGTAACTGGCATCGACGTACTTGTTTATAAGAGTACCTGTCAGCCCAGTAGTTCGCGCAGGTGAATAATAGACAACCCAACGGCTGCACATTTCATAGGTTTTATACTGTTTTAGGACATAATTTTCTAATTATCTTGATGTTCCCAACATTTAACTAAATAAAAAAAAATGGGTGCGTGTACTTATGTAGGCGCGTGAGAAGTTATCCTTCTTTGGCATCCTTTAAAATTAGTTTTTAATTGCATGCAAATAATGAATTACAATAAATTAATAAAAAGTCTGGAAAAGGACACAGTCAATAAAGTTCAGTTTTAATTTGAAAAAAAAAAAATAATTAAAATATTCAATTAAAATCGCTACTGAACATATGTGATTTGCACTTGTATGAAACTCAAACACGTATTCCGAATATACAAACTAGAATCATGTGGATAAATATTATAAATATGAATACCTATAACTGTTACTTTATTACAATAATAACATAAAAGTAACATTGAAAAATAAAGATGTGGTTTTTGGTTCTACTACACCAATGGTCAAGAGATGGCGCTGTAGTCTCCTCAATCGCGCTTTGGTTCCGTTGTTCCAGATTAATAAATACTTTTGATAGGCCTTCACAATGCAGTCGTTAGCACCCACTAAATAGAGATTCTATTTCTATTTTGTTGGTAGATTTTCTTAATGTGCGGTAAACACAAAAGTAAGTTAATTTTTTGTGTTACGAAAAGTGATGCGCGCGCATCTTAAAATTTCACTCTCATCATTTTTTCATAACGCGCTTAAAGAAGTATAACTTCAAAAATCTTTTTAGGTAAATTAATTAAAAATAGTCTGTCCAGGATTTTTTTAGGCAACCCATTTTTAATATATTTTCTAATATACTAAATTCATGATAAAATGTTTCATTCTATTATCAGCTAGGTGAAGGTCGATATAGGTTCGGATTTTAGACCAAAAAATAAACAGTATTAGTACTGGTTGACTGGTAGAGAATGCCTATGGCATTAAGTCCGCTATTTACTGTATTTTGGTAATAAATAAATAAATAAGTGCGAGTCGGACTCGCCTACCGAGTGTTTGGTAAAAATTTGTAGGGACGCAACATAAACGGCCGTATCTTTTTTTAGAAGTCTTATAATAGGGGAGCCCAAGAGGGGATTTGGGGATTTACTCGAACGCGGCAGATTAATATATGGGAAGATACCTTACATCTAGTTGAGTACCTCTACCAAATCTGAGTTCTCCATGTAGTGCCGCGCGAGTAGACCAGCTGATCAGAATAGTGAAAAAAAATCGATAGGCGGAAATACTCGAGCGCGTCAGATTAAGGTATGGTGGTTTAATTACATGCTGAAAAGTGTGTTTTTCAATAATCTGACGATTTGAGCGTGACGTAAGGGAGTGGGAGGGTTGTTGCAAAAAAAAACGATGTCTGGACATTCTAGAGCGCGGTTGATTTTTTTTAATTTAAAGGTAATAATTCAAAAATCATGGAAAACATATAATCTGCCGATTCGGACAAGCCGAAGTAACAAAAATCGTTAATAAAGTGTTGCGTGTGCAGCTGCAGCAAAGCATGTATTTCATACTTCGCACCTCTCTATTTTGCTCTTTCTCTCTCTTCCACTCTCTCGCACCGTCCCCACATAACTTTCTGTTTGTTTTATTTGAATTTTGTGAGTTAGATATTTACTATCACGAAGATGAGTGACAATATTATAAAGTGTGTGTTTTTTGGACAAAATACATGTCAAAAGATTGTAAAATTCACTCGGAAACAATAAGGAAATGCAAGACGGTTTTGGAGTATCGTCGAAGTAAACCTACTCTCAGATGATCGAGTACAACGTACGATAATCTTGAACTTCCGGATGAAACATCATTTTGACGTGACAACGTCTTAAATTAGGTTGCGGCTGGGAGTCACTTATGAAAAAGTGTAACGCTCGGTAACGTTACGATGAGTCTCTCGTGTTAAGTTTAAGTTTACATGTACAATGTTTTAGTAAACAAAATATATTTCTATAGTTAAAATTTGTGCAATTCTTATTTTCATTCAATTCCTTGTTCCTATTGTGCAATTTAATTATATTCATATCAATAAATATTCTACCGAGAAAAAGACGTTGTCACGTAAAATCTTCGCCCGTAAAACCGACTTTACAGGCAACCATTTTTTTTTTTTTACAATGAGTGTATCTTGACCTTATTTAACCCTTATTAGATTTTCAGCTTATTTTTATTTGCATGCTATTCTTTATGAATTTTATTTACCACATTCAATTATTTGAAAAAAATCACGGAGAAAATTTTCTTTAAACCGTCAGATTAAGAAAATCCCTCCAAATATTCGTCAGATTATGGATCAGCATGACCTGCATGAAGGCATCAAGCTGAACCGCCTGTATGAAAATCTGATGCGCTCGAGTATTTCCAGATGGCGTTTTTTTTTGCATTTTCAAAAAGCCGTCACGAGCTTGCGTCGCGTCTCGAATCGTCAGACTTTTGGATCTGAGCTTCGTTTAGGCTCACTTAACATCCCCTCCGAATATCTGACGCGCTCGAGTAATTTTTTTTTCCCCCATTTTCAATCCATCCGTACGGCTAGTCCCACCATGCAAACCAGCAGATTAACATTCTTCCGTCATCAGAGACACAAGGGGCATATACAATATCAATATCTGCCGCGCTTGAGTATTTCCATGTGACTATTTTTTTTAGATTTTTGAAAGCTTCTAGACGCTTGTTCCACCGGTGAAAGGGTATGCATCATATAACCTTATCTTCTTTCTACCATCTGATCTTCAAAATTCAATAGGTCTCCACGACGCTCGAGTAAATCCCCATTTAGCATTGTGGCCTCCCCTACTATTATATTTCTACAGGTTCAAGGGGTTGTAGACCTGATAATACGGTTTAATTTTAAATTTCAACTCGATATAACTCCCACAAGTTCCCGAGATAAAGGGTCTTGACAGACAGACAACAACGTAATCCGTTTTTTTCCTTTTGAGGTACGAAATATGCCCACTAACTAACATTTCAAAACTATAAATTATTACAAAAAATAATTTAGTTAGAGCGGAGAAGGCTTAACTTGTGATTTAGGTAAAAATCAGAAACAGCGACGGCGCGTCTCGGCGACGGCTGAAGTACATAATTTAAGCATTTTTTGATCATTAGGAGAGGGTTTTGAACATTTCTTGAAAATGTCCAAAATCACGCGAATTGAACTATAAACACTCATTACTTAATGCGCGCCGCCTGCATTTTGTGCCAAAATTACAACAAACCAAATTTTAAACATGTTCCTTCGCAACTGTTGAATGGATGAACAGGAACGATGAGCAGTAAACAATCGGTATAACATTCCAATATTATTTATGAACACAAACAAATTTATTTATAATACCAAGTTTTATTTTGAAAACACAAATTGAAATGAAAGGTACTTTAAATTACTTACCTTTACTATTTTATTAAAACAATCATTGTTATAACTATAAATAGGTACTACCTACATAAAGAAAATGTGCTAGACACTCTAGAGACACTTATATATAATTATTCCTATTGGACTTATGTTTACAAGTGTACCTCGCTATGTCCGTAATACATTGGTCAAGTTCGAACTCCATCCGCTTAAACTATGAACGCTCAGTCGGATTCGTATTCAATGACTTGATTTTTCAGTCTCTTCGCGCGGGAGGTGGACAATCCACAGGGCATTGGTACAGCAGACTTGGTAGAACTGATGTTCATCAAAACTGCGTACACTTCAGCCTTTGTAAGCAGCGTGGACTGTGCAGGGCCGTCCACAAATTGCTTCGGTGTCATCGTAAGGAAACGTATTTTCTCAACGGCGTTCCGGATTGTGACTTTCTTCGTGTCTGTAAAGTGATGATCAAAGTTGTAATAATTTTCCTAAAGACAAAACTGTATGGACAAAGTTTCCCTTGCCTTCGTATTGGAAGTATTGAATTAAAAAGAGGAAAAACATCAAATCTACTCCACTAGCCCTACTCATTTTACTTGACATTGGCTGAAGGGTACGGCCAGAGTGCACTCAGATTCAGATTCAGATTCAGATTCCGAAAACAAGCGCGAGAAATAAACAGTGTAGTTAAAGCAGGGTGGCCATAGTGGCAGCTGGCAACCTGCTTAAACTACACTGTATATTTCTCGCGCTTGTTTTCTGAGTCTGAATCTGATTCTGAATCTGAGTGCACTGTGGCCGTACCCGAACGCACAAACCATGCCATAAAAAAAGAAAAAGATGAAGCCCTACTTAAAAAGACGATTTTTGGGACTTTTTGGCGGAATCGGGAAGCGTCACTTTAGCAGTTTTGTTTTTCTTGTTAAAAATTGTATTGTGGCGGATGTTAGTGCCTAATAATGGTGGATTATTAACCACTAAGTGTTCGGGAACATGCACAAGTGTTGGCAAGTGAAACAAAATAGCGGAAAGTGTCTTTCGACGTTCCCTCAAGAAGTCCACGGGGAGGTTCCAGTAAATCCCCACACTTTTACTGAAACATGGGGAAAGGGGGATTAACTTGACTGCCACTTACTTTGACTTGACTTATTACTTTGACCACGAGTGCCATAGTATTTGTATACCTATATTTAACACTTGACATTGGCTAAATGCACAAGCCGTGCGAAGCCATTTAGATATTAAAGACGATTTTTTTAAATCGCATTATAGTAGTTATTTATGCAACAGTTTTATAATGAGGGTTATTATAACACGATTGTGGATTTATCACAAGAGGTAGCCCAGTGTGATAATAGTATCAAAACAGTTGCATAAACGATTTTATCTACTACCAAGATAAAACACCGTGACAAATTTCTTGAGCATCGACCGTAGACAGGGAAGCCTAAGCAGTAGCAATTTTACACACAAAAACGTCTACTACGTAAGTTCTTTTGTCTATGGTATTGCTCAAAAACTTTGCCGCTACCTATATAGTGAAATTCGTGTGAATAATTATATTGTTTTTGTAAATTCATGCAGTAAGAAAACGTAAGTATGTGACTGTCTGACGAGGAAACCCTTTGAGCGGAAGGGATAGAAAAAGCGAACGAGTGATATTATGTAATTTTGTACAATAGGGATGATGACAAATTTTTTTTTCTTCGTTTATGAGGTAGATTATTAAAAGTATTGGACACGTATTTTTCTTTTTTCACATAATATAAAAATTGCAGAGATAATATTGATTTGAAAAGTCGCATGACGTCACGTTTTGGTAGAATTTTCACTTAAAAGTGACGTCACGAGCCCCTACTCCCAAACTTTGACGCGCTATAACTTTGTAATTTTTTGGTTGATTGCCCAAAGAAAAATACGTGTCTATTATTTTTTGATCATCTAACTGACGGACTAAATCGAATTTCGTTTACTGTACCCCGTCATCACCCCTATTTGGATCATATTATGGTTGTTTAAATGATGGCAATAAGCTTACATCTTTTATAGAGGATTTTAAGCATGGGTGTATATGTTAACGGCCAAACCCGATTTCAGGACAAACTAGTTTTGCCTAGGCTAAACTAGTTCTTCCTATACGCGATAGGATTAACTAGCATAGTCTAGTTCAAACTAATTTGTCCTAAGCCCGATAGGATAAACCAGTTTAGCCTAGGTCAAATTAGTTGATCCTGATATAAATACGCACACTCTAGGATAAACTAGTACGGCCTAGTCTAAACCAATTTAGCAGAGTCGAAAGTAATTGAACAAACATGTCAGGAGTTGTACAAGTCCCGTCATGTAAAAAGAACGCTGGCACTTAGGCTGCGCAGTAGACGATTTATCGGTCTATTTGTTGGTAAGAGGTGCAGCGCAGGGTGGGTAGGTCACGCGCTGCATGCTTACCGGAACGCTATTGGTTCGTCAGTCGACCCTTACTTTCCGTGCTGTGTGCATGTTTCGTTTGTTCTTAAAATACCATCGCGCACAAAAGTTTTAAATTCGAAATTGTTTTACATAGAAAAGTAAGAAAAAATATTTATAACGTTTATTGTTTTATGAAGGGAGAGGCTGATAATAATGCAGTTGTTAATATAAAACAATGTATGAAACGGACCGCAGAGGCAACAAAATATTCAGAGTCTACAGTGAGACGAATTGTAAAAGGTTCGAATGATACGGAATTTCTTAAGCCGAGTACCCTCATTAGCGAGCTGTAACCGTAACCTTTTCATGCACTGTAACCAAAAATCATAGTCTGTACGAGGTTCGCTAACCTGCTGCGAGCGGTACGCGTGCGGTTTGCAGCGAGCCGACGTTTACAACTGAGCTACAAGCGTACACACTAGAACCACCTACTGTATCACGCATGCACACGTAAGAAGTGAAACTTCTTTATGGCCTTATTTTTCGAAAAATGATCTACATGCAACTTTCCAGAAATTGGTTAAATAAAGTTAAATTAGATAAAGTTTAAACAAAAGGATTTTTATCATAGACATGAATACAAATTACTGCCTATGAAACTATTATGATTACACGGCTCAGTAATCTAAGGCACATGTTCCACATCCGACGATGAACGATAAGCGAGTAGAAACTAGAAACGAATTGGCAGTCCTGAGTTAAAATGCACGCGTACGGCTTTTGACAGCCAAGCCAGCTTAATCGAGCGAGTATAGCTGAGCGAGTATAGCTGAGCGAGTATAGCTGAGCGAGTATCGCTGAGCTAGTATCGCTGAGCGAGAATCGCTGGGCGAGTATCGCTGAGCGAGTATCGCTGAGCGAGTATCGCTGAGCGAGTATCGCTGAGGGAGTATCGCTGAGCGAGTATCGCTGAGCGAGTACAGCTGAGCGAGTACCGCTGAGCGAGTATCGCTGAGCGAGTATCGCTGAGTGAGTATCGCTGAGCGAGTATCGCTGAGCGAGTATCGCTATGCGAGTTTGGCTGAGCGAGTCTTATCTTTAATAACTATTGTCACTCAGCTACAAACGAGTAGAGAGAGTTCTCGCCGGCGACAGTGTGACCATTCAGCTATCAACTATTAATATAAAAAAAGATGGTGCGTAACGGAAAAATGTGACGCGTAACCGAAAAATGTGACGGTAAATTTTTATTTTCTTCATATTCTTCAATACTTCTACTACTTCAATATTTATTTCTATATAAATATACTTATACTAGCGGACCCGACAGACGTTGTCCTGTCTACACGTCTTTGTGAATCTAAACCATTCTCAGAGCCCCTTGAACACACACAAAAAATTTCATCAAAATCGGTCCAGTCGTTTAAGAGAAGTTCAGTGACATACACACTCACAGAAGAATTATATATATATATACTTATACTTATATATGTACAGTATATGTATTCTATCCGTTACCCTATACTTCGACTTTTTATTAACTGCAGTAAAGTAAAATGACGTTTCAAAATGTCATTCCGTAAAATAATGTTGACAGCCTAATTTCAATAGGGATGTGCTTAGGTTCACAGAAAATCTAATCGTTCCATAAGTAGCTCATAATGATCATACTTAATTCTATTTATTATTCATATAAATAAAAGGCTGTATAAAATCTCAAGTTGGTACTGGTTTTTAGTTACGGTGCTACGATGACGCTTGTCCGCCATTTTATTTTATTTGTCATTCGCTCATTCGGCTTCTAACTGCTATTTTGAGTGCACGAATAACTTTGCTTTGCCCACTGCGAGTTGCTTTAGTTATCTTTCTCGAAAGAGACATTGAGAAAAAATATTAAGCATCTTAATTTCAAATTCGCTACTCGATCACGCAAGAGCGTACTTATTGATAGACAAGATATCATATCATGGCGCCAGCGCTACCTGCGTTTAATTAAACAATATCGTAGGGAGGGAAGATACATATAATATTATCAAGGCGAGACCTGGGTCAACGCTGGTAAGTGGCAACTCTTAGTTTTCTATGTTTGATCCCCTTTTATTTAGCTGTCGAAACGATTATTCTACGTCAAACTATATGTTTAATGTCTTGTATGTCCTGTGAGGTGAATGTCAATAAAGAATATTATTATTATTATGATTATTTTTTGTTCTTTTCAGGTCATACTACAAAAAAAACCTGGAGTGATGGAAGTATAAAATTTTCGGACGGCATTCTACCTAAACTCAAGCCGAATGCAGTAGTCATAATGGACAACGCGCCCTATCACTCTAGGAAGATCGAAACAATCCCAAAGATGTCGTGGACGAAAGCGTGGCTGAGAAATATTCAAGAATTCAAGAGTGGCTGACCACTAAAACTATTACATTTGGACCAAATATGATGAAGGCCACTCTCATAGATATTGTGAAACAACAAAATCATACTGAGAAATATGCCGTGGACGAGATTGCTGAAAAAGGTATCAGACTTTTAAGACTGCTCCCTTATCACTGTGAATTGAACCCCGTCGAGTTGGCTTGGGCTCAGGTAAAGGGGCACGTCGCAAAGAATAATAAAACATATAAAATGCAAGAAGTGAAAACTTTATTCCAAGAAGGAATCAACAAAGTGACACCGGCCAAGTGGAGTGACTGTGTGTCTCACACTATAAAAGAGGAAGGCAAAATGTGCCACCTCGATCATATTATAGATGAAGTGACAGACAGATTTGTCATTAGTGTGACCGAAAGCGAAAGTGATTCCGAAAATGATTGATTAATAAATAACATTGTTATGACAATTTTGTTTAATTTTGGATGTAGGTCCTTATACTTCCACTGAAAAAGATCAATCCTTTACTAAAGTAATAATAATAGAATAAAAAAACATTACAACTTAATATTAAATCTCTAAAACAAAACCAAACTGATCATTCATTTATTGAATGATTCACTTACTTACTTAGCTACATCCCTATTTATTTTTCTTCAAAAAGCGGTAACCCACAAAACGCCATTTTACTGCAGCTAATAAAAAGTTCTACTTTAGTATTCTATAACACAAGCCTTACAGTGCTTACTTTGGAGCTAGGCTAATTGGTGTGAGTGTTGAAAATAATGAGTACCCGGCTTTACTGTCTTCTGAACTCCCGGCAAAAACAAAAGAATTAAACAAAAAGCAATTACAGCAAACAAACTCCCTCCACTTTCTTCCAGCGTTCTTTTTACATGACGCGAACTGTATAAGTCCTAACATGTTTGTTCAATTACTTTCGACTCTGCTAAATTGGTTTAGACTAGGCCGTACTAGTTTATCCTAGAGTGTGCGTATTTATATCAGGATCAACTAGTTTGGCCTAGGCTAATCTGGTTTATCCTATCAGGTTTAGGACAAATTGGTTTGGACTAGGCTATACTAGTTAATCCTATCGCGTATAGGAAGAACTAGTTTAGCCTAGGTAAAACTAGTTTGTCCTCAAATCGGGTTTGGCCGGTAACATATATAAATAAAAACATATTCATAATAATTATGTGATAAAATAGTTTATTCAATTTCAGTAGTTAATTTTGTACTTACCGTCTTTCTCTTTACGGAGGTCACTAACAGTTTCAATAGCAGGTTGTTTTTGTTCAACAACTATGTCTTCCTCGTAGGCATTTTCAGGACTAACCTCAATAAGGACATCACCATTGAATTCCTAAAATTAGATATTATGTAATCAATGGGTACTTCATTCATATATATATTTGATTTGATTTCGCCTACTCTCTCCGAGTTTCCGGCTTCGAATCCCGGTGAGGCAAATGTTTGTAGGATGAGTATGAGCAATGACGAGCATTTATTGTACTAAAGTCGTGTCTATATTTCTGTAAAATATATACTTATTAATATGTATGTACGCGGAGTATTCTTGTTCCCGTGGCACTGCCCGCACTTTATTGGGGACCGCAGTCCTCATAGTGCATGCCGGGCGATCGGCGCAGGAGTATTTTCTGGTTTTTACTGAGTAGGGTCCTGCTCATTTCCTCGAGCTTTTAAGCTGGGATGGGATGCCTCCTCAGATATCCTTGCTGCACGCTTCCGGTGGCGAAGGAAGGCGTTAAACTTTTTCCAGAAATGAATAAAAAAAGGTCTATACTAACCTTTACATGTTTAATAAAATTTGACGAATTGTCGCTTGTCTTTACAGCTGTTGGTTCATGTTTATTGATAGTAAGACTTGCATTATACTCTTCCTGAGCATCAGCGTATCGTTTGATGGCTTTAAATAAATCCATTTCATTCTCTATGTTTAGATTGTCCAGAGAGAATATAACAATTAAAGTATTTAAATCAACTTCTTCTAAATTGTTGCTGTTCAATATTTCTATCGTATTATTTTTGAATATCTAAGAGAAAGACATGACAGTTAAGAAGTGGGTAACATTATAATCATATATAATAAACTTATAAGTATCATCATCAGCTAAATAATATTGAACCTTCTGCTGTGGACACAGACCGGTACCTACTATGGACAGGAGGGACTATTTTTGAATCATTCTTAGGTTGTCCTGTCGAGCACTCGAGCTTTTTACAAATTTTCGTTCGACATGCGAAAATCCATATTTTTTATTCGCTCGCATGGGACGAGTGCTATCAACCACTCGTCGCTACGTAAACACTCCAACCTTACAAATATTCTTGGGTTTTTGTGTAGCTTTATATAATATAATTACGACAGATATAAGTGGAATTATTTACACCCAAAAACTGAATACCTAAGGTTTTTCTAAAAAAAAATTAAGGCACCTGAATACATTCTTCTATCAGCACTTTGTCATCGAAGATAATAGCGAACTCGTAAGTTTTACAAGCGTTTAGTTTGTCCACTTTAGATATTAAATACTCTGAGCAAATCTTCACAAGTTGAGGCAACATGTACTTTTTAGCCGCATAGTAGAGTTCGCATGCCATATCAAATGTATTTACGATCACGTCATTTATATAAATATATCTGAAACGAAATAGGTAAATAAAATGTAAGCCTGTTTAGAACTACATTTAAATATATAAAAGAAGAAACTGAGTGACTGACTGATAAAATCAACGCACAGCCTACACCGCTGTGTCTAGAGCAGTGGATCTTAACCTATGGTCCGCGGACCACTGGTGCTCCTGGCAACACGGAAAGGGCACCCGGCATTTTGTGCCAAAGTTGTATACTTTTTTAATTTTTTTATCTGTGTTTCATAATTGGGTAACGTAGTCTGGCAATATTTGTCATCAGCAGCTAGCTGTCAATGTCAAATACGTAGGTTTGTCATCAAAAGGGTTTGTATATCAAAAAATATTAATCATTAAATAACTTCTTTCCACGATTCACTAAAAATAAGGCAGAAGTTATTGATTTATGTAGCAAATAATTTTGGCTTTATTTTGAGACCAAATTCAACTGTATACAAGTTTAGCATTTTTTCTATGAAAAGTGCCGGGTCTCCTTTGACAAATGTTCCCTCGTCACAAAGGTTGAGAAGAACCACTGGTCTAGAGACTCCAAATTTTGACACGTAGGTTTCTTGTTAGACTAGGGGTAGACTAAAATTTTTTTTTCAAAATTCATCCTCGAAGGTTTAAAATAGGGGATAAAAGTTTGTATGAAATTTCTTATTCCTTGACTTAAAAGACTTGAAACTTGGCTGGAATACTTATCTAAATAAATTATTAAGTTTGCCATTTTTGGTTTGCCAATACTACCCCTTAAGTTTGGACGGATTGAAGGGTGTCGAATTAACTCTAAACTCAGTATTTCTACTTGAGACCTGTGCCATTAGCACGAACCATTATCGAATTCGTAACGTTTTCGAGTCCGAAATGTCATTGTAAAATGAGTATTGATTTTTTTATTCTCGTTACGTACTTTGTAGCGCTGCTGTTCAAGTTTCCATACAAAATTTGACATTGACATTTCGCTTTTCCCAAACTATTCGAATTCGATAATGGTTCGTGCTAGGGGTACTGAAATAAAAAATAACATGGATGTGGGTTCTTTGAAACTCTACCCCCCCGTAACGGGGTTAAAAGGGGTAGTAAAGTTTTACTGTGGAGTAGGTATTTTACTGCGGGGCTTGATTAAATCGGAAAACGGCTGAACAAATTTCGATAAAATTTGGCCTGGATTAAGAAAAAGGATAATTTTTATCTCGAAAGTTTAAGGTTCTAGAAGGAGCTCAATGGTAAGCACGTTCGATTTGCGATTGTGGAAGTTAAGTTCCTTTAACAATGGCCTGTCTTAGCATGGATAGCCAAAAGTTTATCTGTGTGACGTCACGGCCGGATGACTTTGGTGAAACGATGTATCATGACGCTAATATGTCTCCCTTGTATACTACCGTACCGCTTATGTCGCATTGTTGGCACAAATGGGTGCTTTTATATGTTGTATCTAGTGGGGTGAGGTGTGCACTATACTGATTTCAACTATTTCGTCCAAAGGGAAAGCCTTTGTGCAGTGAGGACGTTAATAAGGTGATGATGATGTATTACTCACTCTAACAGAGCTTTGAATGCTTCTGGCTGGATGTCTGGTATTCGTATGTAGTTACTTTTCTCTGCTATAGATCCGTAGAACATAGATTCAAATACGGGAGACACCGCAGCTAAGACCAGCTTGTGTCCAGAAAGCTTAAAAATGTTCGGTTCCGAACCAACCTGCAAAGGTAATATAAATTTCAATCAATTGTTTGATTTCAATTTACTGTTATAACTATATTTAAGTATATGTTAATATTACCCTACTTTTTTTATCTGAGAGCACAAACAATAATCTCCCCAATTTCAGGGACGAGGACAATCTTATACTTGTTTAAATGATGTTTCCAATACCCAACTGAGAAAACTGGCGTGTCGGTCTGGTTGCCTACCAAAAAGCACAAAATCAAACTTATAGGTAGTATCTCGGGAGAAGTATTTTTCGTTTCGTTGATTGAGACATAGGCAATGATATTATATTTAAATTTAAATTATATAATAATAGGCATATTATTAGACCTGATATTTTGTCCCGGAACTTGTGTAGTTATTGGGCCCAGGAGTTCACACTTCACATTTCTTATTGTTAAAAAGTTATCTTTTATGGTTTTTTTTCTGGTGCTTCGCCGACCGATGCCGCGGCTTCGCTCGCTCGGCTCGCGCTCATGGTGTGGTCTTGATCACAATATTAACCTAACTTTAAATTTACCTTAGTGCCGTGCCCTAGTGTATGAAAGTGTCAACTTTCAGGTCCAAGAAGTAAAGCTTAGCCGTATCCTAGGTATACCTCATAATGGCAATGAACTATTCTGTATGTCAATATTCGTCTATATCCGTTTAGCCGTGATTGACATTACAATAGAAAAGGCCATACTTACTTTGCGTCCTTCTTAAAAATAACATGTAATTTTTAATAAATCTTCCCTATGTTAAAAACGTTTATGTATAATAACATAGGAACACTGAAAAACTGATTGAATGTTGATGAACTTCATAGATTGTAATTTATAACACACCTAACTAAATTACTCAAAACAAAATAGGGCCCAACCCGTTTTTCAGCTATATTTTATTTTTCCTTTAGCTTTAGTATATTTTTTTAATTGAGGTGTTTAAAATTAGCGTTTAGAAATTGTGTAAACATAAAAAACAGTGAAAAATAAAAGTTTTATGTGATTATTTATGAAAATTGTCTCTTTTATTAACGAGTAGGACCTCCTCTAGTCCGTATACACTCTCTTAGTCTATCTGGAACGCTTTCGATTAAATGGATAACGTTTTCTGTCGGTATTTGCTCCCAACAGACTTTAAGGGCCTTTATGAGGTCTTGTCGGCTATTCACATGACTGAAATTTGACTTAAGGCTTCTTTTTAAATTATCCCATAAATTTTCGATAGGATTGAGGTCGGGGCTCAAGGTTTACCACGGTAGAACTGTAATATTGGCTTCTGAAAGTGCTCTCTGAGTGATACGAGCCGTATGCGCGCGGGCATTATCTTGCATGAAGACGAAGTTTTCACCTATTCTTTGCCTAAATGGGATGACATGAGGTTGGATTACAGGCTCGATGTAAATGGCAGCCGTTACGGTGCCTTTAGATATAGAGACTATACTAGTTCAGTTTTGCCCATTAAACTAATTCCACGCCACACCATTACACTTGGACCCCCGAAACTATCTATTCCGTGAATGCAGGCTTCTGAAAAACGTTCGCCTTCTTTTCTCCATTTGCGGAGTCGACGATCGACACTAAAAACTTCACTTTAGATTCTTTTGCAAACAGTACCGTCCTCCAGTTGTCCATGGTCCAATTTAAGTATTGGCGAGCAAATCTTAACCGTGCTGGTAAACCGGGCACGATGTGCCCTTGTCAACTTGAGCCAGATTACTCGTATTCTGGATCGTTGGCCATCCTCATGAAGTCTATTCCGAATGGTTTGATCTTTTTCTCGCATGCCAGTAGTTTGGCGTAAGCGATTTTGTAAGGTCCGAGCGGTTATTGTACGCTCTCGACGTGCAGTCAATCGGATATGACGGTCTTCCTGGTCAGTGGTAGCTCGAGTTCTTCCTATTCCCGTTCTCCTAGCAACACTACCAGTCTCTCGGTAGCGTTCCCACAGGTTACGGATAGCGCATCGTGACGCATCAACTTCAACTCGTATTGCCACTGATCTCTGTGAATGTCCTTCCTGAAGCATGGCCACCGCTCTTGATGCTGTTTCCATATCCATATGACGTCGAGAACCAGGCATAATGATCGCAAATAACGAAGAAAATAAAACAAAATGAATAAAACAACAAGGTGCAACAGGAACAGTCAGACTTAGACAAAGACCACAAGTGATTGGAAATTTTAAAATTGGACAATTTTTAGAACACCTCTTTTTTGTTTACTCACTTAAGAATAACATTTAACTTGTCGCTTGAAACATTGATAAAGATTCGTAAACATGTCAACAATAAGTTAAAATGCTTCATCTCGCCAATAATTACTCTTTATAGGTATATTTTGTCTAAATAATTTTTTAGACAAAATACGGGATTATTTATGGGTGGGCCCTATTTTGTTTTGAGTAGTTTACCTAATATAGAAGTATTTCTATTCCAGTAAAAGTGTTCCCGGTATTCCGAAGTTATTTTTTAAAGACAGGTAGGTAAATGCGCGAAGCAGCGCTTATTTTAGTTAAGTTACGATCTATTTTGCTATTTTGTGTCACTATGGTACACTTGCAGCCATTTTGCAAATCTCAATTTAACTAAAACGGTATTTATATTAAGTCCATACAATAATGTCAAATTGACATTGACGTTAAATCGAGATAAGCAAATTTGCCGCAAGTGGGCTTAATATCACAGATTAGGACCGATACAAATCACTCGTATATAAAATTTAAAATCCCTACGTCGGTAGTGTCAGCCTTAAAGTACTTATAAAAATCACCGCTAGAAGAAAATTACTGCGAAACACGCTTTTCTTTACTGCACTAAAAAGCCAAAAATAAACAAAATATACTCTGTTTACTTCATTAGGGCCTTAGAGTAAGTCATGTTTATTTTAACATATTATATTTAACTGAAAAAGCGTGGGGCGCTATACATTGCAATATTTATTAAAAATCAAATAATATATTATGTGATTCATAATGCTTAAAAATTCAGTTAAAATTTAATAATGAAGCACCCCAATGTTTAAATATTAATAAAATCGTTTCAATGTTAAAATAAACTATAAACTTACTCGAAAGAAGTAACCAGAGCGTATATTTTGTTTATTTTCGGCTTTTTAGTGCAATAAAGAAAAGCGTCTTTTTAGTTTTTAAACTATTAATTTATTTTACTCTTTTTAGTTTCAGTCCGATGACTGAAATGTAACGGAAAAATGAGTAGAATATGTTAAGGCGAATCTAATGAGCCCAAACTCGATATGTTTACTACTAGACAGTCCAAGGTTTCATCAGGCACCTTCCAGTTCCATCATCAGACCAGCTCGATGGTACCATAATATTGTATTGTCCAGCTTGATGGTACCATAATATTGTATTGTCTTCTAATCTACATATAATTGCCAAGTTTCATGGTCCGTGTAATTCAGATTCTTTGATTCCATTATATAGTAAGTTAAATACAGGCCAACCTAATAAAAAGAGTGTTAAAAAAAGAACAACATTGAATTGCGTTACCTCGAATGTACAGTCGGCCAAGTGTCCCGACCGTAGTTGCGGACCCACGCGTTGTTTCCATTTATTGTACCTCTGCTGCCAGGGAGATGCTTCAGCACACATGGTCATCAATATTTTGGACACAAATATTTATAAAGTATATATCTTTATAAAGTCTACCGAAACAACAACAAAACATAAAATTTAAAAACTTAAAAAAGTCTACTTTTCCAAGCTTGGTCGGTAAGGTGTGTATTGCTCTAGGAACTACACTCGTTTGCCAATCCTTCTTGTTAATATTGCCAACAAAGAAACTTTGTTAAAGCTCACTATAACATGCGCGCAGACGGTTGAAGGGGCGCATTTAGCAAAATTCTATGGTTACTTTGGCGGGAGTTGTGTGCTAGTGTGTGAGTGCCTCTGCTTGTCTACCTACCAAATAAACAAGAATTCTATGGCCAAATTGCTAGATTCAATATTAAGTTATGGCACCAATTTTAAAGTAGATTATGAACTTTATTCCAAAATAGCAATCCATATCTCGTTTAATAAAAATTAAAAATACGAAAGTGAGTGTCTTTGTTTGTTACGCTTCCACGCAAAAACTACTAACTAAATTCTTTAGAAGTGAAACTTATTTTCGGGCGGGGTGTAAATGGAAAAGATGAAACGGAAATGCGTAAAGAGCGTCACACGACTATATATACTATGATGTTTTACTCCTCCCAATCTATCGTATTGAGTATCGCCTAAGATATTTGTCCTGAAAAACATTGATGGATATGCAATTTGCTCTTTAGTTAGACACTATAAATTTCAAAAAAATAGCGTAGAAGCCGGCTGGATGGTGCAGTGGTTATCGCGTTCCGTCTACGATCGTTCAAGTTAATAAAAAATCCCAATGGCCGTTTATTAGATGGGTGATCAAAAATTTATCATATGAGCTTAAAGGAATATGCATCGGAAGTTACTTTAAATTGTTGGTCCTGGTTGCATTTCTGCAGTCGTTAGCACCCAGCAATCCGTATACTAGCTGGACCCGGGTTGTGGGTTAAAGCCCGTTCTTCCTATGAAAGACGTTAATAATATAGTAACTCTTTAAAATAAATACTAATTAGGTAAAATAACCACGCCTTAAAGATGTCATATTTAGCATTGGTTGTTTTCAAGATATTTTCCGGAATCAGTTTTGAATGTTGTGATAGGTCAGCTTAACGACGACACCAGTTTCACACTCTAACGCTGTCCATTGGATAGACTTTCCTATCTGCACACATGCACATAAACATATAATGCATCTATGTTTATCTTTTGATCTCAGTCCGACATGTCAGATAAATATTATTCATTGAAGTTATTAATGAATTATATATTCATCAAAAATTATAGATATACATCATTATAATTTCCATACTAAATTGTGCGCCTACTATATACTGGCAATACTGATAGTACCGGTTCTTTCCCACAGTCTAAATGTGAGTGAGGCCTTGGTCTATAGGCATTTCTACGAAACGGCTGAATGGGATATTGTTTATCCCGTAATAAAGAAACGACACGGTTCTTTGTAATAATAATATTTTTATTGGGTGTTATGCTTATCCACACTAATATCACAGAATATAAATATAAGCTAAAGCCGTACTGCAACTAGGCCATTTTGTTGAGCTAAATACCTACGCACCGATTGAGCGTTAGGGTTGTCACTCTTAATTTTGGTAAATTAATAAGCTTTTATTTATTAAAACGTTAATTTGGGTTCTTTAATAAATCCATCCATACATACTATCATAATAAATGCGAAAGTGCGTCTGTCTGTCTGTTACCTCTTCACGATTAACGCTAAACCAATTTAGATGAAATTTAGTATATAGATAGTTTGAGTCGCGGGGTAAGACAAAGGATAGTTTTTATCGCAGAAATCATCCTCTAATGGGGTGAAAAGGGGGGGCGAAGGTTTGTATGGGAAAACAAATTTTCACGAAGTCCCGGGTACTGATTAGTGATCAAATAATCGAATGAATTATCTAGTTTACAAACAAAATTGTATAATTAATATTTTGAAGATATGCTTCTTTAGGCGCGTTATGAAAAAATGATGAGAGTGAAATTTTAAGATGCGCGCGCATCACTGTAACACAAAAAATTAACAGCATGAAGTTGGTCGCTTTAGCGACCAACTTCATGCTGTTACTTTTATGTTTACCGCACATTAAGAAAATCTACCAACAAAATAGAAATAGAATCTCTATTTAGTAGGTGCTAACGACTGCATTGTGAAGGCCTATCAAAAGTATTTATTAATCTGGAAGAACGGAACCAAAGCGCGATTCAGGAGACTACAGCGCCATCTCTTGACCATTGGTGTAGTAGAACCAAAAACCACATCTTTATTTTTTGTAATAAAGTAACAGTTATAGGTATTCATATTTATAATATTTATCCACATGTTTCTAGTTTGTATATTCGGAATACGTGTTTGAGTTTCATACAAGTGCAAATCACATATGTTCTAATAAATTATATTCAGTAGCGATTTTAATTGAATATTTTGATTATTTATTTATTTTTTCAAATTAAAACTGAACTTTATTGACTGTGTCCTTTTCCAGACTTTTTATTAATTTATTGTAATTAATTATTTGCATGCAATTAAAAACTAATTTTAAATGATGCCAAAGAAGGATAACTTCTCACGCGCCTACATAAGTACACGCACCCATTTTTTTGTTATTATAAATTACTCACTCAAAAATACTTTCGCCTGCTACGACACGTTCGTAAAGCTTTATTATTAAATTTTATAGTGTAAAAAAATCGCATTCTAATGAAAAGATTTTTTAGATAAATTATTGGAAAACATTAAATTAATACAGCTACTTTACAATTAATGTGTTCTTTTTGAAAACAACAGCGAACAAAAAATGTAAACGCCAGTTTTGAAGAAGTCGAATTTAAGCAGCCGTATACTGCGCAATACCTTCGTGGCATGTTTGAAAATACCGCGGACAGCTTACACAATACGATTAAAAAAGAGTGACCGGTCGTCTCAACGCGGCACATGAGACTAAATGTCCCCCGAGAACCCCCGAGGGGACGTGTAGCGACGTACGTCTGAGGGCGTGTGTCATTTTGAGCGTTCCACCCGTGCAAAGCCGGGGCGGTTCGCTAGTAAACATAGGTTTATGCTTCCAAGTGTGACTTAGATATTATGGCACATCAGTATGTAGGCAATGCAATGTGTGATTTGCAACCGGTTTCTATAGAATTGCGTGACGACAATAATTGACGCTCAAAATGCCGCTCAATTCACAGACGTGAAATGTGTGTGTGTTTAGTATTTGGAGTATTTTTTGGCGTAGTTTTGGAGCGTTTATTTACGTCTCGCTATTTGGTAGCAACTGGTATTTTAAGTTGCAATTGCAAGTTAGATAATACTCCGGCGGCATGGTACGTGTGCTCATGTTACTCTTACCTGAATGAATTCTCGCCGCATTAAAAGTTGCGCTTTACATGGTAATGCTTTTAAAGCAGCGCACATCCATCGGCAGACGCGACTGAAAATAAGAAATAAAAAATAGTCTACTCCGAACTAAATTATTTGTAATGCACAGTTAAAAATCTAATATGAGACAAACGTTATTTGAATTATCAGTAATAATTTATGGAAGCAACAGCAATTTGATAATTAAAAATATATTTTTTGATAATAGGTTGATCGTTAAAATAATCATTAATACACCATTAATAGTTATTTGTTTAATTATGACATTGGATTGACATATGATGTTTTAATGTAGGCAATAAACCAACTGTTTCAAAATCTTACATAGAGGTTTTAAAGCATGGGTGTTTATAAAATAATAAATATAACACATAATATTTTGATGATTTTAATAATATGAGCAAAAAGGAACTTACATAATTGTATGAAATTGTTTTATTTATATTAACTATTTCCTATGTGTAAGTAACTAATTGTATTAATAAAAAATATATTGCACATAGGTATTAGTAGAAATAATCATTTGGTATTATTTTGAAATCGCATTGAATGAAGGAGTTTTAAATATAATTAGAATGGCATTAACTCCTCGTTTCCACTAAGTCATATATTAGTTTTAAACAAAAGTTGTAGACTACTCGTTGTGGCTTTTTAAAACATTCTTTCGTTTACACTGCATAGACAACTAGTATTTTACAAGTATATATCACGCAAGTAAATGGAGGGGAGAAGATTAGTACATTTTTCATATTTCGACTCATAAAAAAACAACCCTAAAGAGAAATTGAGAAAACAAAGTTTTCTTAGCTTACTTACTTGTTAATATAAAAATGGTGAAATGTTTGAATTTGCTGAAAACGTTAAAGAGAAATAATGTGTTTTTTCAAAACAAAAATTTGTTAAATTCTGCCTCCCCACGATGGGGCAGTTTTGAACAATGGGTTAAAAACCAGAAGAAAGAGAGAAGGATAGAGTAATAAAATTTGTTTTTATTATAATGATATGTATTGTTATTAAAATATAAAATAAACTTATACGAATTTTCTAAAGTTGCACCTTGCATTACAGTAACAAAAATAAAAATAATTATATTTTTTAATTGTGTCTGACTTCCTCTTAGTTAACAAAAGTAATCATATTGCACAAGAGTTTTAGTTTATTGCTATTATAATTATATAATACTGCCTCAGACGCAAAATTAAACATAAAATAAACTTAATATCAAACTTCTAAACCACAAAAAAATAGTTTACTTGTTGGAGCTGTTTTCGTCAGAGATGTAAAAAATACATTAAAAAAGTATCTAAAATACAAGATACCAGGTAGTCAAGTATTTAGATAACAGATACAAGATACTTTTGGAAAAATGTATTTGAAAAACATACGTATTTTTAAAATACTTTTTTAAGATAAAAATACTTTTTGAATCAAAACATGTTAGCAATATAGCCAGTTTGCTGTGCCTATTTTTTGATAACAAAACCGTTAGGCCACGTACCTAAAGACGTGGCTGCTGTTCTTCCAATCATCAAATTCATCATCAGCATCATCTTAAGATTGATTTTACTTGCATTCACGTTTCTTTAATATTTATTTAGAACTATGAATTAATGATAGTTTCGGTGCATTTTTTTTTTCTATATTCTGAAAGTGCAGAGTATTTATGATTGGTCAGGTTTAGGATTGGTGACCATGATTATGAATATGCAGGTTGTTTGCGATTGGTTGGGTTTGGGATGGGTGACTGCGGTTATTAATAATATGCAGTGTTTATGAATGGTCATGTTCAAGAGATGATATCATTGATAAGCTCCAGTCTATCTCTCTAATTATTTGTAAAAAAATATTATCTTATTTTTATCTTCATTTCACTCCATTACAAAACAGACCAAAGAAATTGACACAAATTTCAAACGACTCTTCTTCCTCTAGTGTACAAAAAAAGACGTACCTTAGGGGAAGTTACGTATTTTTTGTTCACTACCACCTAACCATCTCTGTGCACCTAACCCATAACATTAAGGTGAACGAGACGGCAACATATGAACTTACGATTTTCTTTTCACGGTGAATAAAGTTGATAGAAAAGTAATGCACTTAGGCTTAGAATAATAATACGTTAATTTACAAAAATGCATGCGTTTAAAAATCAATCTTGAAAATTATATAGGAAAAGAAAAATTATCTTAGTAAAAAAAGTATCTTTAAAATACTAAAATACTGAAAAAACGTTTTTTTATGCATAATAGGCAATGCGTTTGACCACAATCTCACCTGATGGAAAGTGATGATGAGGCCTAGGATGGTACACGCCTGCCTAGAAGATGCCTGTTCACTCTGGCCTTGAAGATGTCCAGATTATATTGGTCCGGGAAAACAGACCTCGGCAAGGAGTTCCACTCCCTAGCCGTTCGCATAATGAAGGCCGAAGCAAATCGCTTCATGCGAATGGGACGAACTTCGACAACATAAGGGTGGAAGCCCTCGCCGCGCCTGGTCGTCCGGTGGTGGAAAGGGGAAGGGGGGATCAAATAATGTAATACCTCCGCACACTCTCCGAAATGTAACCGATAAAACACCGAGAGGCAAGCTACACGTCTTCGGTGGTCAAGGCTCTGGAGATTAGCCTCAACGAGAGCGTCAGTGCCTATGAGTCTCTTCGCACGGTGTTCCACCGAGTCCAGTGCATCCAGCTGATACCGAGCAGATCCGTCCCAAAGGTGACAACAGTACTCCAAGCAGGAGCGAACTTGGGCTCGGTAAAGGTTAAGGAGCTGCTCAGATGTAAAATATCGCCTGACCTTAGAAAGTATTCCAAGTTTTCTGGCAGCGGTTTTACCAATGGACTCGATGTAGCGACCGAAATTGAGGCTGGATGAGATGTCCATACCCAAGAGCTCGAGATGGTCTTTAACCGGCACGGAGACATTTCGGAAAGTCGGAGTCAGATGGAATGGACTCCGTTTCGTCGAGAAGAGACAGGCCTGTGTTTTTGAGGGATTAAACCCAACCAAGTTTGCTTCACCCCAGAGGGAAACAGCTTCCAGGGTTGCATTCACTCCCTCCACCATCGCCTCCCTTAATGATCGGACATCTGCATCAGACTTCACATCCGGCAGATATCTCTCCGAAACTGTGCTGTCGTCTGCATACCCAAAGATACCGGGAGTTAGGAGCAGATCATTGATGTGCAGCAAGAATAGAGTTGCGGAGAGGACAGATCCCTGGGGGACACCGGCATTAATACCAAGCAGATCCGACGATGTGCCATTAATGACCACTCGTATCGATCTGCCCCTCAGAAAATCTGCAATCCAGTTGCAAAGTCCGACAGCAATTCCATATGAAGGAAGCTTGCCAATGAGACTTGCATGCCAGACCCTGT